CCCCAACCTGCTCCCCCCCCTCCCAGCCTCCACCCGGGGGGGGGTTGCTGCAATAACCAGCCCTAACTTTGCTGCCAGCAAGCTGGACTGGGAGCCTCCCAGGCTCTCCCAGTTCAAACTGGTCAACGCTTTGGCTCGTTTTCATGAGCCAACCAGAGCTTTGCTCCTCTCCCACATCTCCCCGGTCTTATTCTGGGGGTCTCTGGCTGTTCTGGGGGCACCCATGACCTCCCTGCACCCCACTTTTCAAGCCCACAGCTGCAAAATCAGATCCTGCCCCCCAACCTTGGGGCAGCAGCTCCTGGGCTGGTCGGATGTTGCTTCCCAGCTTGGAGCTCCCAGGGACAAACTGAGTCATCTCTTGCATCTTTTCCCCCCCAGGGAAGGCAGGAGCTGCACCCTGGGCCCTCCCAAAACCACCACCAGCAGCAGGACGCTCTCCAGAACCTCCCAAAGTGACTCATTCTCCTTCCTCAGCCCCAGCAGCAGCGTCAGGACACGACCCCAGCCCAGTTGCTGCTGGTCTGAGCTCATGGTTTGGCTTGGTGGGAAGGAGTCATTTCCTCACCACCACTTGTGATTCACCTCTTGGCTTCTTTTCTTCTCCCTTTTATTCTCGTGGGGATCTGGGCTCCCCCTCTGTGCCTTACAAACACCTCTCAGCTGAAGCAGAGCAGGGGAAACCCTCAGGCTCCACCTTCTCCTGGGCTGGGATTCCTGACAACCCCTGATCCTCAATCCACCCTTGATTTTCAAGGCAGCTTCTCCCCCCTCTTCACCCTGAACCATCATTTTCCCCCCTGACCAAGGACTTCCAACCCTTCACTGAACTTCCCAGACCCCAACACCTTGGCAGCAGCTCAGTCCCACCACCCTCCACCTCCTCACTTTCCATTCCCATTCTCCAAACCTCCAGAGAAGCTGCATCCTCAGGAATCCAACCCCCCCCAACCCCTCATCCCTAAATCCCACCCTCTCCCACCCAACCCAAGACCCCAAAAACCCCCACGTGCTCCCCTGGCAAGGTGACCTGATGTGACAAAACCAGGTGAGCAGCCCTGGAGTTTCCGTGTTGGCAGCTCCATCCTCAGCTCCTCCACCCCCGGGACACGCGGAGGCAGGACCTGGCAACCACCCCACAGGTGGAGTTTCCAGCCCCACCGGGTTCTCCTCGTGTCTCCAAAGTTTGTTTAGCTTTTTTTTTTTTGGGGGGGAAGGTTTTTACACCCCCCCACAATGCCTGGACACACCAACACCTCCAGGCTCCAGCTTTCCTGTCTCTGTTTCCTCCTCCAAACCCTCCTCATCATCCTCTTCGCTGTCTTTGCCCGGTACAGCCCGGAGAGGAGCCCAGGGCCCTGTTCCCAGGAGCTGAATTGCAGCTGGAAAAACCAGGATTTGGGGTTTCAGCCCCCCCGTGAGTACCCTGGGGCCGGGTGGGTGCAGAGGGAGCAGAGACCGAGCTCTACCTGGTTCCCAGGTGCTGCTGAAGGAGGTGGCACCACGGGATGTCACCACGTTCATGTGGACCTGTCACACCATCCACCTCTGGAGCAGATTCCAGAGGAAAACAGCCAAGGGGGAACATCAAACCCCAGGGTTGGGGTCCCACCCAGGAGGGGTGGGTGGGAAACTTGGGGGCAAAAAGCGGGAAAAGGGGATATTTGGGTCTAGGACGTTGGATTTCAGGAGGTTGATCCCTGTGCCCAGTGATTCCCCCTGCGCTGGGCACAGGGATCACCCCGGGATTGCCCCCCTTTCCCAGGCTGGGGGGGAGGGTGGAAGGTGCTCCTGGCACTGGGGGGGTTGCAGAGGTCCCTGCTGGGTCTGGCAGCACCGGGGGCTTCACCCCCAGCCCCTTTCCCAGGGGGTTCAGCACTTCCCGGTGCTGCCGCAGCCCCCGACGTGGAGCTGGAGGTGGGTCCGTCCCATCCTCGGGGGGGCTGAGGGACCAATCCCAGCTTCTCCCGAGGAACTGGGAAGGGATGGGAAGGAGCTTCTGGAGCTGAGGGAGGGGAGCAGAGAGGAGGGAGGAGCAGGCAGGTTCTCCCGGTTTCTCCTGCCCACGGGAACCCCACCCAGGGCAGGTGGTGACTCAGGTGCAAAGGGCGTTGAGCCCAAGCTGAGAAGCAGGTCCCTTCTCTTCTGACTGGTCCCAGTTCAGCCTCCTGGTTCCTTCTGCCCCAGGGTGTGATGCTTCCGGAGGTCCCAGGAGGGGGGGCTGGTGGTTCCCACCCACCTTTGATGGGTGCAGAGGGGTCTCCAGGGGTTGCTGGGGGAGGGGGGGGGGTGAACCAGGCGCGTTTGCTGTGGTGCCTGCACAGGGTGGGTGCAAACAGG